CCCACATGTATTTAATAATGCCGACTTGTGGCCCCCACCTCCTATTGTGAGTGGGGTGTAAAAGATTAGGTAAAATCTTTAGGTACATGTAGCATAACCCTTTTTTTTTTCAAATTTCAATTTCTGTTTATGGAACTCCAATTATTATATACGACTTTTTATTTGTTAAATTATTTCAATTATATGTGCTTAAAGGTTATTCCAATTTCTTGGAAGTTGTTATCCCCCCTCCCCCGCTCGAACACGTAAGCAACAGGTCCACGTGAGGCCAAATGCCAACTACAAGTAGTCAATGAGTCAATAAATCCAATATGTCAAACATGCCAATGAAGACAAGTATGCTGAAATCTTCAACACAATACCCGAAGTTATCGCACGGTGCAATGAAGTCCAGCTGAAGCACCTCATCAGAGACGAGGATCAGGCCCATCCGAGGCCCCCTCAACTTGTCCGGGGCTCATGAAGCGGACAATGTTCTTATAATAGATTTGAAGATCTATTAGAGGTGATTGATGTAAAGCTAGTAATAAAGTATGTCAGTCTATTGTATAGGGCGGCTGACCATTTATCAATGTATTAATTGTATGAATAGACAGTGATGTGAAGTCTTAGTTAGGGAGATGGGCCATGTGGTTCCGATCCAACGGTCATCATGTCGGCCAATGTATTATAAATAGATTCTCTTTGTAATTAAAGAGGGAGGTTGGATCTTTAATGGAAAAGAACGTATAATCATATATTTGAAGACATACGCTTGAATTCTTGAAATAAACACATTAACATTTCGTCTATCCTTCCACATATTCTTGTTTGTTATTACATACGGTCCGACATTCCTAGAAGTAGGCAGGATCGTTCAACTCAAATGCCCAGAAATAGGTCTGCTTACCTTCTACCCCAATGCCTAGAGATATGCAGCAGGAATCTCATCAACATAAAGGTCAGTTGATGTGTCATGAAGAGCCTTCCGTCCGCCCACCTAGAAATAGGTGGGATAGAAAAAACCAGGCTAGAAATGGAGTAGGAATTTCTCCACCGCTGCCCCAATCCCAAAAAGGGGAGAAAGAAGATTCAGAGGGCCCCATAGGTCCTGTGACCTCGATGATGACGATGAACATTCTCCCTTTTCAGAGGAAATCAAAAATGCTCCCATGCTGCATCACTTCGCACTCTCTAAAATCCCAAAGTGCGACGGGAGAGGTGATCTTGTGAAACACATGAACAACTACAAGACTCATATGAACAACTACAAGCCACCCCAGCAATGAAATGCAGGGCTTTCCACTTAACGCTAAGTGGAGGTGCTGAAGTCTGGCACACAAAGCTGCCTGAGGGGGGTATCCGAAGTTGACCAGACATGAAGAAGACTTTTCTAAAACTCTTCACAACAAGCAAAGAAGGGGGGAGACCTATCCAACGACTTCAAGATATGCGACGCAGCAGTGAGAGACGCTAAAAAGCTTCTTATCCCGCTTTACAGATGAAATGACTTACTGCGTACAAGTCACGGATAAAGAGGCACGGCCGCTTTAAGATGAGGATTAGACATGAACTCCCTCTTTTGGAGAGATGTGCAAAGTAAAGGTCCCACCATCTACGATGCCCTATTGGAAATGATAAGGCGCGAGATCATCAACGAAGAAGTAAAGGATCACAGAAATACGGCGAGTTAGGGCCTCCCACCTCCTCAAATGCAAAGAGGAAAAAGCTCAACTTCTCACCTGATGGACCATCAGGCCTCACTGAACTACGGGCATGAGCTTACTGTAGCAACACTCAATGCAGTACCGACCTTAGCCTATGAGAAGATAAATCCTAGTGCTGAAATGCACCAACATCGACCTTATCCAATGCATCTGCAAAGGGGGCAAGGTAAGTGGTGAGGTGCTGAACCTAGAAATAGGGACGAAGTACCCAACTACTGCTCTTATCATCAATCACATGGATATCGTATGGAGAATTGTTGGGACGTTGCAAGAAATTCCCAAAATCAAAACCGGGCAAGAGGAAGGTGTCTCCCAAGGAATGCTTCGTATAAGCCGAACTTGCAGCCTAGAAACAAGGAGCAGCGTCTGCCTAACAAGGAGGACCCTATAAGAGGAAAGGCGAACGACACTGAAAGGCACTGGGGGGGCCAGAGGCAAAGGCGAAGCCCCCCAC